GTTTTGGACACAGCCATAGACTGATGTTTAGCAATTAGCATCAATAGACTGATGTTTAGCAATTAGCATCAATAGACTGATGTTAGCAGCTAGCTTAGCATCAATAGACTGATGTTTAGCAATTACCATCAATTGACAGATATTTAGCAATTAGCTTAGCATCAATAGACTGATGTTTAGCAGCTAGCTTAGCATCAATAGACTGATGTTTAGCAGCTAGCTTAGCATCAATAGACTGATGTTTAGCAGCTAGCTTAGCATCAATAGACTGATGTTTAGCAATTAGCGTCAATAGAATGATATTTAGCAATTAGCTTAGCATCAATAGACTGATATTTAGTAGTTACCTTAGCATCAATAGACTGATGTTTAGCAATTAACATCAATAGACTGATGTTTAGCAATTAGCATCAACAGACAATAGACTGATGTTTAGTAGCTACCTTAGCATCAATAGACTGATGTTTAGCAATTAGCATCAATAGACTGATGTTTAGCAATTAGCTTAGCATCAATAGACTGATGTTTAGCAGCTAGCTTAGCATCAATAGACTGCTGTGTAGCAGTTAGCATCAATAGACTGATATTTAGCAATTAGCTTAGCATCAATAGACTGATGTTTAGCAGTTAGCTTAGCATCAATAGACTGATGTTTAGCAGTTAGCTTCACATCAAGAGACTGATGTTTAGTAGTTAGCTTAGCATCAACAGACTGATGTTTAGCAGGTAGCTTAGCATCAATAGACTGCTGTGTAGCAGTTAGCATCAATAGACTGATATTTAGCAATTAGCTTAGCATCAACAGACTGATGTTTAGCAGCTAGTTTAGCATCAATAGACTGATGTTTAGCAGTTAGCTTAGCATCAATAGATTGATGTTTAGCAGTTAGCATCAATAGACTGATGTTTAGTAGTAGTTAGCATCAATAGACTGATGTTTAGTAGTTAGCTTAGCATTACTGGACCAATGTTTATCAGTTAGCTTAGCATCAATAGAATTTTGTTGATTCACTTGTTCTTAATTTATAAACTGAAACATTTGACAAGAAAACTAAATCAAACATAAAACACATTCAAGTTGAACGAAATTAGTAAAATTAAAGGATGTATGTAAAACATTATTTAACTAATTTTGGGGGTAACCACCGAATTTTGGCTCTTCTGATGTTTCTGCAGTAAATATTTGTGTCAAACTCTCCTCTCTGCTGCTCCAGTTCTGGTCTGAAAATGACCCGAACAGAACAATAAGATCCAAACAAGACAAACTGAAATCCTCCTGTTCGTAAAAGATGTTTTAGTTGTTTTTGTTTTATTTCTTAGACCAGGGGTCTTTGGATGATGGGCCTCTCTAGTGCTGAACCCCAGAGTTTCTTTGAAACTGGTGAATGATTTAAAACTTATGTTTATAACATGTTTAAAACACGTTTATAACATGTTTAAAATACGTTTATAATCATGTTTAAAACATGTTTAAAATACGTTTATAATCATGTTTAAAATACGTTTATAATCATGTTTAAAATACGTTTATAATCATGTTTAAAATACGTTTATAATCATGTTTAAAACATGTTTAAAACACGTTTAAAACATGTTTAAAACACGTTTAAAACATGTTTAAAACACGTTTAAAACATGTTTAAAACACGTTTATAATCATGTTTAAAACACGTTTATAACATGTTTAAAACATGTTTATAACATGATTATAACTTTTTAAAAACATGTTTAAAACATACATGTTGATCTGAAACAGGACACAACAACACGAGAAGAAACTTGAACAATTTTTAGACCCTTCTGTTCTTTGTCAAAACTTAAACCAGAAACACACGCGCGCGCGCACAGGTTTAAAGAAAAGTTTCTGGTTTCATGCACATACAGGAGCTTCGTGTTCCGGTCGCGGATGACACAGGTGGCCGTTAGTTACCTGTCTGTCTCCGTGTCACCTGTCTGTTACCTGTCCGCGGTCGGACCGCCACGCAGCCTCCCGGACTACTCGGTTCTGACTTCGGGCCCTCGGTGCTCCACAGAAACGGATCATCGTCCGCCGTCAGCGGACTACTTTCACCGAGTGAAGGGTCGGTGTTTCTGCGGAAGGAGACGCTCCAGCGGCGGCTGTGCTGCCGTACAAAGACGGGGCAGACTGCCATGGAGCCGCAGCTAGCAGTGGCCATCTTGTTTATCGCACCAGCGGGGCTAGCTGCTGTTAGCATCCGGGAGAAAGTGAGAGTGAAGCGGCCGCGGCGGCAGTCAGCCGCCTCCCCCGCGGTCCCGCCAGCTTTCTGCTGGTCACAGACGGACTGAGCCGGAGCCGAACCCGAACCGAGCTGCGGGGAGCGGCTGACACGGTCAGAAAAATGAAAAGGTTCGAGCGGCGGCCCGGTCCGATCGATCCTCGGCTCGGTTGGACCGTTAAAAGGCACCGAATGGAGCGGAGCTCCGCGGCCGGTTCTTACCTGCGGACTGTCCGGTTCATGGCCGGCTGGGGGAGGGGAGGGCTGGCTGTCCGGTTCGGTTCGGATCCGCTGCCCGTCACTTGTAGCTCGCTCCACCGGACCCGCCACGTCCACCTCGGCACAGCACCCGCCGCCTCTCCTCCTCTCCTCCTCCCCTCGGTCTGCTTCCTCCTTACCTTCCTTTCCTCCCTCCTTCCTCCCGCTCGCTCGCGCGCACACGTACCCGTTCAGGCGGGTATCTGGGTTACTATGACGACGGCAGCGGTAGGTTGGGGGACAGCGGTGAGGGCGGGCGCGCGTGCAGCGGCTACGCGCTCCTCCTTTGATCTCCATTGTTCCGCCTCCACGCGCCTGTGCGCTAATTTAAATTACAGATGATTTTTGAAGCAGCACGCGCCCCTCACAGCCGGGTCAAAGCCGGCACGAGCCAATTAATGACGTCAGCAGGTCGCCAATCAAAGCAAAAAGTCCAAAAAGTTCAAATTTTAAAGCAAATTAAACATTTCTCTGCAGATTTAAACATTTAATGAAAACAAGGAATCAGTTTTCTAACATACAAAGCTGTTAACAACCAAGCTCCATCATATATTAAACATCTTATTGTTCCAT